GAAACGAGCATTACTAGAAGACTTTGTCACAAAATTGTCACAAACACCCGCACATCGTTGACAAAGATAAACACAAATTTCTATTGGACACTCCTCAATGCCGCGTGGGTAACACTAAAGCAACATATGTCTCTGTTCAAGTTTTGTTTCAGCCTTATGAATCCCTCCCTTAAAAAAAATCTCAAATCAAAGAAAAAAACTTAAGTCTGCGAATACTTGAAAAAAATGTTCATCTATTCTACGCATTCTATAACACTAAAATATCTAATTACTAAAACAGAGATGCAAGTGTTGAATACACCATTAAAGCCTTATTTGACAGACATGTTAACATAAGTTAAATGTTGAGTCAATTGTTGGTGGTGAATAGTTTAAGACGTGTATAAGGTTATGATGTTTTTACTAACGTTGTTTTCTTTATCGTGTTTATTTATTAAAACCAATATCATACGTTTTAGTTGTTTAATTTCATTTGGAAAAAAAAAACAATCATTTAAGTTATAATACCATGATTTTAGCATTAAATAACTGAATAGTTTTGAAATGTCTAACCTTAACCAAGTACTTTATATGCGTCTCTTGTAAAATTAAGTTTTGTCTGGCTGATACGACAGCCTTAATAGTACGTCAATGTTTAATCAGCAATATATGACATAAATTAAGAGAGGCTAATCAAAGGCAATTACTGGATTATTTGATTAGTTGAGTGTTGGATTAACGTCCCGTGGCAAATACGTATTTCATACATGTTTAGGACCAGAACAATTAAACAATAAAGACATTAGGTATATGCGCAGCAAGGTTGACATCGTAGATATACAAGACTATGCCAATGTCAGAAAACTAGTCTGTGTTCGACACGAAACTGTTGAAGAGTCAAGTAAACATTGACCTTGTCCAGTTTATTAGACTAATAGGATTATATTTAAAATTTTCTGACATTGCATATTTATGATGTTTTTCTTCTTGCACGTATTTATACAAACTATTTCGTTTGTAGTAAGAAGCATACATATCATCACTGAATATTTTGGTGCCAATAAAAAAGATCAGTCTTAACACAAGGACAACAATGAATTAATTTCAAACTGCTAAAAAATTATTATAAATGTAAGTTATGCTTTTAACTTAAAATTCTAGTTATACAAACTGTGTATGAGATATGCGGAAAGGGAATAAAAATAGATTTTGAAAAAAAGTTTTTTTCCTCTGGCAACTTTATCAGAAAATGTTTAAAGGCCTATATACGCATTCTAAATGATAACGGCTTAATTTTTGTCTGCAATCTGGAATCTATAAGTGCTATAAAAATATGAAACGAAAATCCAAAATCCGTGTGAGCACAAACCATGTGTATTTATATACCGACATAAAAGTATATCGTTTTTAAAGTTATTCTGATATACCACGAAAGACTCTATGATATTGTTCGTTTGAAATCTTTTACATAGTTTGTTTGCATCGAACATTAATGAACAGACAATTAAAATGAAATGCACATCTAGTGCAGTCAAATTGATACTGTAATGTTGTTGGTATAATTATGTTTGGGTACGCAAACATTTTTTTTTAATTGCACAATGACAGATCTAGGCATTTGATTTTGCAACCAGAGTTACAAACCAATTCATGCTGGTTTAAACATATCTGTACAATAAACAAATACGAGAAAATAAATGTTTGAAAATAAATACACAATGTAAGGACAATATCAAGACATTGTCAACTTTTTGTATCATTCTTAGAAACTAGAGAACGGAAAATCCTAAGTATTTCGAAAAAAAAGTAAAATACAAAAGTTCAGAAAAGCAACTACAGAAAAGGAAGATATATCCTCCTACCAAGACCAATTTTCTGATAACGAACTGACCAGTCTTTGTCCTTACTTCTGAATGACACTTCCTTTCAGGTGACGTAGAAAATAACAATTTTCAAGACTTTATTTTTGACCTGGTCATGGTTCGAACCCATGACATCCCGCAATAGAGGAAGGTACGCTTCAAGGCGCGCGTTTCGTCTATTAATGACTCATCAGTGACGCTCGAATAAAAAAATATTAAAAAGGCAAAATAAAGTACAAAGTTGAACATGTTGAAGAGCATTGAGGACCAAAAAATTCCTAAATGTTTTGCCAAATACAGCTAAGGTAATCTATTCCTCAGGTAGAAAAGCCTTTGTATTTCAAAAATTCAAAGTTTTGTTAACAGTTAATTTATTTTTATGAACATATCAATGATAACTCAAGTCAACACAGACGTGCTACTAATGACTCATCAGTGACGCTCGAATCAAAAAAATATTAAAAAGGCAAAATAAAGTACAAAGTTGAACATGTTGAAGAGCATTGAGGACCAAAAATTCCTAAAAGTTTTGCAAAATACAGCTAAGGTAATATATTCCTGAGGTAGAAAAGCCTTAGTATTTTCAAAATCAAAGTTTTGTTAACAGTTAATTTATTATTATGAACATATCAATGATAACTCAAGTCAACACAGAAGTGCTGACTACTGGGCTGGTGATATACTGGATTATCATTTGTATTTCATGGCGTAGGTATGTTATACGTATTGAACAGACCAGAGAGGCCAACCTGTTCATGCTGTTTGGGTTCAATAACATCAAATGTACCAAATGTATTAATCAGATGTCAGAAATATATTAAACTTGGAAATTCAGAAAATCTAAAACATATCGCCGCAAAATCGACTGGAGGAGGCAAAATGCGAGGACAAATATTGATGGCTGTTGGATGACCTATATTTTTTTTTAATTCACCTCATTAGAACATTGATGAATAGGTTTCTTATTGACAATCACAGTACATTTCCTAATTATATTTTTTTTACAGTAATTGAAAGCCCAAATCGTAGGGATTAACAACAAGTGTCGGACTATCAAATTCAAATAAGAATGAGATAACATATTCCTAAGGTAAACTATAAACATGGAATAGGATCCCAGTTACGGCAACCAGTCCAGTACCCACGAATGTAGTTCTTAAAAAAATTATAACTTTTATTTAAAATGGTGTAGTGTTATTATTACACAAGTTCTGTAACTGAATGTTGATTAATTTGAAAGGGTAGGCTTTCTTGTTTGAATTTCTGTAAAAAATTTTGATTGATATAAATGTAATCTGGCGTCAGTGCATAGAGTAAATTGCATAAATTCTAGCCTTTATTCTTCCCCGGAAGTAGACTGACTGACCCTGTTGTCTATCTAAACAAAATTTTGCAACGGAATGCCGGCCATGAGGCATTGAGATTGTACTTAGGAACTTCGAAACCAATGCCTAACATGAAACAGAGATCCCAAGGTGGCTATCGAAATTATTTATTGAACAGCATCCCATTTATTTTATTTGATTTTCAATGCGTTTCAATGGGGCAAATAACTGGGTCCCCGTTCCTGTCAGAGGGCATATATTGAACATTTCAATCTGCTTCTGTAAGCTTATTTTTGGAGTTACATGGATGAAATTTGGCTAGAGACTTAAAAATCAATAAGGAAAACAATGGTGTAATTTTTTTTAAATTTGAATTGAACTTTTTAAATCAAAATGAAATTTAAATTTATGAGATTTAAAAAAAAGTTTTTTTTCAATTTAAAGTTTGCGAAGGGGTCACAGTAAGGTCATTTTGTTAGTAATATGTATTCATACACTTGTAAGTTAAAATGGAGGGATTTTTCAAAAAATATCAGCAAAAAATACTAGAAAAGAGCCATCTGGCAAGAAATAACAAATGTCTAATATGGGATCAGGGGTCAACAAAAGATAGTAATATGGGCTTATTTCTTTCCGGGATCCTATTTCTGGGACCTGGAAAAAGAAAAAAGCCCATAGATTCAGTTTTATGGTTTTTAATAATTATTTGATATTAAATGAAACATTTGACGCCAGCCACTTGTGTCACAATAGTTTGTGTGTGAATGCGGCTCACATTACTTTAGAGCCGCATCACATAAACAACAACAGAATTTATTGTAAACACCGAAACTCTTGCCAGGGGCATGCCAATTTTCCAGATTGCCGCCTAGATTCATTTTTGGAAGATATTTAAGGGGTAGGGCTATAGCTTATATAGAGAATTTTGACTGAATGTACAACAATTTTAGACTCTTTTTTAAAGATTTAGTGGTCCTTAAAAGGACCGTTAGTTAATTTTGTCTGTATCTTTTTCAGCAGTAGATGAATGCAGCTATATTTTCTTTGACTTTGGAACTTTTGAAGTACAGCTTCTGGTATGTATATTCTTCTTTGCTGGTATTACTCTCCCATATAAATGATCGTCCTTTATGCTTTTTACAAATGCAGCATCAAGTTTTGGATCAAGTTGTCCCTTTTGATATCTGTCTGTTCATTTACTTTGTTCCTTTTCTTCCACATGATCCTTAATTTTCTGTCCAGTTTGTTGTAAATTTTTCTTTTTCCTTTCTGGAGTATTTTGGTATACTTTGTTCCGTTCACACTCCCTTTGCATCTGGTCCAAGTGTTTTATTGAACCTTGTGATATTTTAAAACCAATACATTCTGCTTTTTGTCTCCAGGAATTAGCTATACCATTATTCAAAGTGTGAATTATTGCTGATGCCCTCCCTTCAAAATTTCTAGAAAAGTTCACATTCTTTGGTAAGGAAACACTTAGTGCTCTGTTAACAGCTTCACATTTTTGAGTGTTGAAATTAAATTTCATTTTCATTAATGCTTCCTCGATAAGTTTCATTTTTGAAAATTCCTGCATTATTAACTTGTCATTGTTATCCATCAGGTTGGTTAACTTGTTCGCACCCAAGTACATGGATCTCAGCCACCAACAGCTTGAGTGTCCACCAGCACACACGTATGAACTAGTGGGACATTTAGAGCAGTCACCAGTATAACAACGCACAGTAGCATCAAGCACTCTAGGTAAGCATTTTTTAATTTGTTCTACATTTCCAAAGTTTTCTTTCCACATTTCATTGAACACTAAGCTACATCTGGCTTTCAAATCTTGACTTCAAACTTTCTGTCCTTGTTTTTTCTTTTCACGTGTTGACCCAGGAAACATGTTCAAACTAACATTTGCAGAATTACTTTGCCGAAACTGTGAGCGTCCTAATTGAATTGGGTCAGCTTGGCGTTCAACTTTCGACAACGAGTGTAAAACATTTAGTGCATCATTTATACCTTCTACTCCACGTCCATCTCCATCTGTAACTGCATACTTTATCAGCCCATTTTGCCTATCAACCTGACGTCCAATTTCTTTACCCATGAGATATTCACTTAAAGGCTTGGTTGGCTTAACATTGGCTGTACATGTACCAGCATGTCCATTTGGACAGGTTACATCAAGTCCTTTCCCTTTAAGCCAAACACCTGTCCAGCAAAGTTTATTGTGAAAAACTGATGCAACAATGAACTTATGGTCAGTGACTTGCTCACACGCCAAAGGTATTGCCTGGGAAGCATTTTGTCGAGGTTTTTTTGTGCTCACTATATGCATACTGTTATAACGCGTGTCGATTGCTACAGGAATATGTGACGGCTCTTTTACACCACGAAATCTGTTAACTTCTTTCACAGTTTCAAGTTTTTTCTTCATATCATTGTCACTTAACTCTTTTATCTTATTAGCAACAACATTAGAATGCTTCTGCAGTGTTCTTTTAGTGGGTGGTGGTATATTTAATCCTGCAGCCATCAGAAATTTTCCTCTTATTATTCCCATAGGAGTCTCCTGTAAGGCAGATGCAAACATGCGGGTTAACTCTCCAGGGTTAGGTCCAGGATTCAAAGTTTTAATTTCATCGTACAGATTAACACGTGGTGATTTTAACTTGCATCTTATACATTTATATATGCACTTTACACAAGATCCATACTTAATTTCCTATGTCAGTTCAAAGTGCGGATTATCACATTTAATATCTTGTAAAGTGTTTAGATTAAAAACTACATTCATCAATAGAGTAATTTTCTTCATTTTAACAGCTCTATATGTATCATCTTTAACATGGTTTTCATCGTGAGACTCAAATATAGCTTCTTTTTTCAGAATCTTCAAAGATTTCGGATGTGGACGTAGTAACTTAGTAGATCCAGGATTTCCCTTGACATCTGGTAAACTGTAGGAGGTGCCATCTTGACTGGTTTTAGCTACAAGTGAGAACTTCTCTGCATCTAGCCTCTTCCATTGTATATACGTTGAACTTAGTTTACTGTTTGAAGACTGTGTTTCATATTTTATCCCCTTGTTATGGGGTATGTTACCCGATTTCAAGCAGGATTTACGTCGATTTTTTTCACCTTTCATGTTAATTTACAGTACCATTGACTGATAATTTATAAAGTACTATATTTTCCTCCATTATTTATATCATTCGAAGATGCTGTCAGCTTCCATGACACAATTTTGCCACTAATTGCTGACAGTGACACTCTTTGGGGGATTTACAGGTGCTGGACAATATGGTCTAAGATATCACGTGTGTGTACAGTAGGGCTTAAATTTTATTGGATTACCACTAATTTCTTTTCCATGTAAACCACAGCTTTTCATATATGACAAGGAACTTATTTGCCTTCATAAATATACATTTCTTGTAAGTTTTTAACTTTTAGCTTCTTTGCATATGTAGTTCTTATTAAAAAAAAAGAAAGATTTTTTTTTAATTAAAAAAATAATTTAAATATTTTTTTTTTCATCAAAATTTACTTTTTACTAGATTTTCATACAAAGAATGAATTTATCTACCATGTGCAATTTACAGAATGTAAATATCTTTTGAAATCTTTTTTTTCAGTTTTGCTGATTTTAAGCATATTTACTTCATGAATTTATGATTTTATCCGACCAATTTTCTGGTATTTGAGATGTTATAGATAAGGATCAATAACTCTGTAACTGTCGGATCAAATTTATTGAAACTTTGCACAATAACTACTGAGATGTATATCTTTTTTAGAAAGTGCAGTTTTAAGTCGGGAACAAAAATTAAAGTCTGACAGGATTAGGATCCCAGTTACGGCAACCAGTCCAGTACCCACGAATGTAGTTCTTAAAAAAAATATAACTTTAGTAAAAATGGTGTAGTGTTATTATTACACAAGTTCTGTAACTGAATGTAGATTAATTTGAAAGGGTAGGCTTTCTTGTTTGAATTTCTGTAAACATTTTGATTAATTTAAATGTAATCTGGCGTCAGTGCATAGAGTAAATTGCCTAAATTCTAGCCTATATTCTTCCCCGGAAGTAGACTGACTGACCCTGTTGTCTATCTAAACAAAATTTTGCAACGGAATGCCGGCCATGAGGCACTGAGATTGTACTTAGTAACTTCGAAACCAATGCCTAACATGAAACAGAGATCCCAAGGTGGCTATCAAAATTATTTATTGAACAGCATCCTATTTATTTACTAAGATTTTCAATGCGTTTCAATGGGGCAAATAACTGGGTCCCCGTTCCACATGATAAAGATAATCTCAAAATTATGTATTTTATATAAATTATATATAACCATAGTCACACCTACATCAGTACTAAATCAAAGGGTAGATGTTTTGTCTGAACTGCGTTAACTTACACATTTTCCTGCATAAATCCTTATATTCACTGTACAGCCTTTTCTAGCTCTTCTCGTGAGATTGTTTTTTATTATCAACATTTCCAAAATCAGAAAGACAACTACGCAAAAACCGTTAAAAGGAACGTTAATCTATTCTAAGAATTTAATACATGTACTCTGCTACATCTTTATACAAGAGAAGAGCATGTTCAGGGTGAAAAGTTTAAGGTTATTCTGTTCTCACTTATGTTGTTATGTTAATCGTGTTAATTAATAACAGCAAATATCATACATTTGTGTACTACTCAGGTGTTTCAGCTTGTTCTGTGAAAACAATCGTTCACGTTATAAATGTCATGCATTTAGCATATTTAATATATGATTAGTGTCGAAATATCATCCAGAAAACAATTACTCATTACGCCTCGCTGTTTCCAGTTTTTTTCTTTGTCAGTACAAAAGTCTTGAGAATACGTCAGGGTTAAAACAAGCAATTAGTCGAAGAATATTAGACAACATCATGGCAAAAACAAAATAAGACAACCTAGTAATAGTTCTCAAAACACTACACTTAAAACGAACGTTTGAGCAACGAGCTCATCAAAAGCCGGCTTCACTAGTGATTTAAGACTTGTAATCCTTCAGTTATTGTGATGATTACAGACCCAATCACAAGTAAACTGTATAATTTCTTCAGTGTAAATTTTTTCAGTAAATATGTTTGAAACAAGAAATTATAGTTGTCTTTAGATATGATAATTAAACTTGTTAAAAATAACATGTAATGCACATAAGTAAACCTACAAGTGACTTTGAGATGAAGAACAGCAATAAAAGCGCTGTTCCTTCGCTTTTTGTGTATTTTTTTTTGCTGCGCATAAACTGATTTTGTGTCATTGATGATAACTCATTTCCTTTGTTTTTCTATTATAAACTGTTTTACCTTAAATTAGATAAAATGCACCCTTCATTGGTTTTTGTCTAAATTGTCTATCGAATCTGTAAGAATTTCTTTTACTGGCTAAATTAAGCTAAAAAACAAATTCTCAAATAAGATTTGGGCCTGTTGCTCAAAACAGTGAAAAGGGGTCGACCCGAACAATAGATTTGCTTATCATTACACATGTATGTTCGTTATGAAATTTTGCCAGAACATGCTTCATCGGCGTTTGGGGTGAACTAAATACTTTGTATTTATATGCGCACCAAGGTTGACATCATAAATAAACACTATTAGGTAAATATCAGAAAAATATAAATTGTTTGAATTCAAAACTCCTATTTTAATCGACTAGTAAGATATCACCCTTTCACATAATAAAAGGCTCATACAAAAAGGTTGACATTTTTCTGACATTGGATATTAATGATGTTGTTGTTGTTATTGGTTTTGGTAGGCGGCTTACTTATGTAGTAATTGCGCCTTAAATTCATATAACATAAATATTATGTATATACGCTCATTCCTTAATTTATATTTAGTATTACATTTTTGCGAGTAAATTGTATGAAACTGTGATGAACAGGGTTGACTGTGTTACAATAAAGTATACATATGAAAAAAAAAGAAAAAAATAACACATAGAAAAAAGGTGAAAGGAAAATGAAAAAAAGCAACAACAAAAAAATGAGTCCTAATGAAATGAATATTAAGTATGTCTTCCTTGGTGCATGTACGAAATAATCCGTTTGTAGTAGTGAGCAATCATACATTTGACCACTGACTTATTTGGTGGTCAGTCAACAAAATATTTCTTTTAAACAAGTTTATTTTACTACATGCTTTTTTTCAAAAATATGTATAGAAAATATCATTGTCAAAGGATTAAAAACAATTTACAACTAATAGCATTTGCAATGTCATTTATTTATACCAACTCTTGCAATCTTTTTGTAGATTGTCTGCACCCATTAAACATGTTAAGCATATCGTCTTTTCCAAGTGACAGAATACATTTTGCACCCTATACCACTCGATCACCATTGCAAAACATATCTACATTGTCCGTCATTTAGATTGTCGTTCTACTAATTACATATTTGCAAACTAATTCCGTCATTTGTTTGCATTCAAAGGTTAAGGAAAAAGATGTAAAAAAGCTTCTTAAGGTCAAGACTTAGTGTGTTTTTGTCTTTGTTAGGATGTCGTACTGGTGGATTTTTCCTATAGGTTTAATTCGTATTCGTATCAAGTTTGATGTTAGTTCAAAACCAAAAATTGTTAAAAAAAAAACAAAACAAAAAAACAGTCCTTTGCTGGAAAAAGTGTCTCGTGTCGAAAATTACCATAAAAAAAGATTAACTCTTCAGTGTAACTCTATCTTTCACGATTCCTGGTTTAAGCAAAAAGAGAGTTTGCCGCTTTCTATAAGATCAATATAACCCCAATCAATCTTATCATAATGCACAACAGCTATCTTTGGGGGAAAACTTTTCAATCATTCTACATTAGTTTTTATTGTCAATATGGTTTTTAACTTTCGTTTCGTTTCCACCATTTTCTACGCAAGAGCTTGTACCAAGTCAGGAATAAGACAGTTGTTATCCGTTCGTTTGATGTGTTTGAGCTTTAGATTTTGCCATTTGATTAGGGACTTGCCTTTTTGAATTTTCCTCGGAGTTCAGTATTTTTGTGATTTTACTTTTTGTTTTGTTTCTTTCGTGAGTCATACAATACAATTGCTCCAGAATTATGACCGAGAAATGTAACATGTGTATGTCATTGCAACTCGCAAAAATTAGCATTACAGCTAGACAATTGCCTGTTACTTCAAAAACATATCTTGTGCAACTTCTGTAACTGCTGTTTGTCAAGAAATCCTGTGTTTTGATTACAGAGAAAAACTAAAATTTATTAACTTTCTATTGATAGGAAAATATGCTGGCACATGCGAGATTTGTATGGAAAACTGCACATGACTATATAATAGAGAACGGCTTCAGTGACATTGGTCAGCTATATCGTGAACATCTAAAATCGTCATGTTCACGTAAGCAGACAAAATAACATAATATAAACGGCAAATACTACAGACAAATAAGAAATGATAAATATTAAGCTGTTTTAAAATTATTTGTTTACCAGTGTATTAAATGACCATCAGAATACATATTGACTAAATTATTTTTTTTAAATAAATGCATATATTCACCTATCAACTCTGATTTTGAACTTAAATAGAAATTAAGG